TTATCGAAGTAAAATCCGTGCACTACTACTTTAGAACGATGAATGAAATTTGATAAAAAAAACTCCCATTAAAAAACAATTAAGCGTTAATCGTGCGTCATTAAAGGTATATTAAAATCGCGATAAAATATTTTCGCGCGGGAAAAAATTTTTGAAAAAATTTGGAGACTTAACATCCAAAAAAAAAAATTTTTTCGGAGGGCCGAAATGCCCGAGTTTTATGTAACGCTATGGAACTTGCCCGAGTTATCTCGGGTTTTATTAAAGATTGCAGCATTACTTCTTGCCGCCTGCAGATGGCTGTGATTGGTCATCCATATTCAGCAAACGAGATCAACAATGCAGTTAAGGAGACAAATTCCCTGACTTTTTGACAATTTTCGACAAATTCCCTGACATTCCCTGACCTTTTCCAAACACTAATGAAAATCCCTGACTTTCCCTGATTTTCCCTGACTTTCCAGGTGCGTAGGAACCCTGTAAATAAATGTGATTTATCATTTTTCTTTTATGACTATTTTCTTTGTCCAGTTCAACAGAAATTTGATTAGGAATTCAAATGATGCTTCTATGTCCAAACTGTGCAAGCAGTAAAAAATGCAATTGCTGCATACATGCCATCTGTTGCAATCTTACAATACAATAGAATAATAAGTCTTATGTGTAATAAGACTTACTTATTAAATCTAAAATTGTAAAAAAAATGTATAAATGAAATTTTGGGTGACAATATTTACATCAAAATATATATTTTATTTATTTATATTTTGATGTAAAAATTAAAATAATCTCATTTGATATGGTTTGCAAAGTTTAAAGAACTGCTTATGAATTTGGTCTTTAGTTATAGTATCAAAAAATAAAAATTGATGAATAGAACCTGTGCATTCTTTACATTTCTACAGTAGAGCATCGTTTATCTGAAACGTCGGTTAACTGAAAGCATTCCAATCGGCAAATTTAAATTTTCACTAGTGCTGTGGTGCTGCAATCTTTGGCTATATCTTGGGCTACTCCAATATTTTTTTTTGTTGGTGTGTGTGTGTTTTAGTTGGCAGCACTGTCACTTTTGTGTAGTGTTTTTCCGAGGACTGTGTGTTGTGCTGAATCAAATGTTTTTGATATTAGATTAACTTCTGAGGTATAATTTTTTTTTTTTTCAAGATATTTATTTTGTTTGTAAAAAATAAAGAAATAATTTTTAATGATATAATAGCCACAATTATTATTTTAAAAAGTTTACATTAGGCTTAACATCGACGAAAATTCAATGCAAAGCAACACGCAATGGAGAAAAATTTCAACATGGGATAGGTTAATATATTTTTCGTACATAATCGGTTATCCGAAAAATAAGTTATCCAAACAACCCCAGTCCCCAATTGACTTGAACTGACTTGGAAATGACGCTCTACTGTATTATACACACCCCACACATTAAGTCAACACTTCACTGTAATAGTTTTTAATATTCTTATTATCAACAGTGCATCTTTATTTAAATTGTAAAAACTAAAAACTTAATACAATTTTTGAAAAACTGGAAGAACTACATGTCTTTAAGTACAAAGTACCCCAATGACATGCATTAACCTAGTGTTTCTCAAACTTCATCTTCTGGTAGACCTGTTTAATAAATTTTAATGTGTCAATTTGCATAGTTTGCTGTCAACATATTTGTCTAGACCCACAGGGATCTGTGGTCCACACTCTGTTGAGAAATCTGCTAACCAAATTATCTCAACCATCTGTACATGAAAATTTCTACTATTCAGCACTACACATTGTGCAAAAATTTTCAGTGTTTTCAGATGATGCTTTCAATGATGTCAAATAAAGAAAACAGTTAAGTATCTCAGAATGATTAAATTTATGGGAGAAGGCAATGCAACACCTAGAAATCTTGCAAGGAGCAATGCCTCTGAAGAAGACTTTCTACAAGAAACTGACTCTATTTTGGTGTTAGATTCGTAAAGAAAATGTGAAAAATTTCATGTGGCCAGCCCATTAGTGAGATGCAAACCTGCAACCAACTGCCAGTGTTTTATCCACTAAGACATTGATGAAACTAAGCAATAAGGAAGCCAGTATTAATTACCATGGTCCAGACCCAACTTGTGTTACTTTAAAATTTTAAATAATTTCAAAAAATTATAATGTTTTAATGAAATGATTTAAATTGTAAATGTACGTAATTTTTCTTATTAACTTTAGTTAAAATAATTTAACTTAAATAATGTAAAGGAGTGTTTTAGAAGTAGACTCATTTTGTCTAACTTCTAAAACACTCCTTTACATTATTTGACCAAGATGGGAAAATAATTTCAATCATATGAAAATTTTTCTTTTTACAATATTTTTTAGTATTCATTACTTGGAGTTCATCCTTAACTGAAATTTTTGAGCCTTATAAAAATTCATTCTGAGGTCATCATCGTAAATAAATTTTGTATTTTTGGATATCAAAAAATCCATTAATTACTGCCTGTGCTAAAAATAAAAATAAGCATTCGTGGCACTGACGTCAATTTTATTTCTATTAATCAACATATTGCATCAAGTTTATAACTGTATATGGTATCATATAAAGATGAAAACATGTGATTAAATTAAAGCATTCTTTTAATCTAAAATATTTAACTTATCAGTTTCGTGTTGCATTAACTTATCATTAGTAATACAGGGCAAATTGTATGGTAAACCTACTTACCAATAATAATTATTAATCAGTTCATAAATTATAGTTTTATGTTGTATACAATAATTTTTGGGAAAATTTTGGGTCCTAAAAATATTCTGCATGCCTTTTGATAACTTGCATTGTATCATATTATTTCTTGCTACCTGCAGAAGGCTATACAGTGAGTGATCAGTTAACGAACAAATTGGATAATGAACACTTAGATTTAACACTTAGATGAAAAGATTTTTAGATAGAACACTTAGATGAAAAGATTTTTATATTCGGACAACGAACACATGATCGGATAACAAACACTTCACAGAACAAACACAAGAAGAAGCAACATAAAATAATGAATGCCAATTCGTCTTCCCTTGTCTTCAGATAACAATTTGAAACTTTTTGGAGCGCGGGAGACTTCAGCATTGACGCTCAGCCCAGTATATACTGATTGGATAGTATTCTTCCAAACTTTGAAACTTTCACTTGTAATTCCAGCCTTTTATTTTTCTGACAGAAACAATTTTTTTATAGTATTCGTGAGACTGTCAGGCAGGCACTTGTTAAGTTCTACGTCAGTTTTTACTTTTGAAAAATGAGAGTATATCATCACAGGTAGAGAGTAGGCAGATGTCTGATGTCTGTTGTTGCTGGGCAGTATGGCTTGAACAGGTCTACAGTAGGCCGCAGTTCAATCTTATCTAAGAAAGATACTGTATTATCAAGAAGACTCATGCAGCTAAAGGAGTAACAAAAATCACATCTGAGAAATAAAGAACATTGAAGAGTTCATAATGGAACCTGAAACGGATCTGACGACAGAAGAACGCTAAGAACTCTCGAATGAAGAACACCAAGAAACTCAGCGAGATATGTTTTCTTCTGAAAAAGAGGATTAATGTCGATATGTGTTATTAAAGATGCTTTGAAGAAGTGGAAGGATGTCAGAACAACGGTCTTAGAATGGCATTCAAACCAGATTGAGGCTTGGGGATTTCTACAATTGCAATGCTAATATTACTTCTAAAAAATCCTAAAAAAAAAAAAAAAGCAATCAACATTAGACAGATTCTTTAAATTCCACAAACGGAAAAAACATGACTGATAAAAATGCAAGACTGTACATATATGTACAGTGCTTTTATTATTGCATATAAATAAACATAGTAAGAAAGTATATATATATTTTTATTTTTTGGGGTCTCCAGAACAAATTACAGTTGACCCCCCATAACACTGTTGATTATTCCGTTTTATATGAATTCCATGTTGTACGAATCACTTAGATTTTACAAATACATGTGCCGGGCTGTAAACTGCTCACATATTTGTAAAATCTAAGTGACTCGTACAACATGGAATTAATATAAAACAGAATTATCAACAGTGTTATAGAGAGGTCGACTGTAATCAAATTCCCATAAAAATCTATGGTAAATCAATAATCAGTTAACGAAGAATTTGGATAGCAAACAAAGTCTTGGAAAGGATTATGTTCGTTAACCGATCACTCACTGTATCATTAATTTTAGCTTTGTATTAAGAATTTAATATAAATCAAAATTTATAGTAATATAAATATTTTAAATAAAATATATTTAGTAAAATATGTTCAAATTTATAACATTTCTATCTTATGCAACAGCACAATTTAGTAAAACTATACATCTCGACGATGGTAATTTAATCTTTCAAGTACAAGAACATCAAAATTAACGTCCGTACATAACGCATTATTATGTACGGTACATTAATGTGTAGAAAATAATATGTTACATACACAGATCGACTTTATACTGTATAGTACATAGCCTAGGTCGATCTGCATGTACACACAGACATACATAAGGTCACATAAGCAAACATTATATACAATACCTATATAAAGTGGATACATACACAGGTTGGAAGTCGTTAGAATTAGCATGATCAGATTAATTTTTTATTGGATTGGTACTTCTAATTATACATATTATTATCTATTAATATTGACACCAGTGTACACGAAAAATACATAACTGATTATATAGTAAAATTTTATAGCATAAATTCGAAAGTCTTAATATTTGATTTTCAAATCGTTCTCATCCCACAATCAACAAAACCTTTAAGATCCAATAAAGTTTAAGAGCATTCCAATTCGGAATAGAATGTCGACTTGATCAATTTTTATACTGGATGTTAACGGTTTTGTTGACTGCGATTGGTAATTCATTCCAGTTATTAAGAAGGTAATTGGTTATGGTCCCGAAAGCAACAAATAATATAGAACTAAAACAAATGAACGCATCAAAAGATAATATTTCTATTTATTTACCACAATCTTCGGACTCGTCCAATAATCTGCCATTTTGACAACTTTCTTCTTTAGTCTTCTAACAAGCCATATGGAAATCACATTTAAATTTTCCGTTTGTTTATTAATTAAAATAAGTTATTTGTTTAAAAAAATCGATGTACGCAGCCGTCACAATTATTTTGTTTACCAGCTGATTAAAATGAGTGTTGCCAGCTTCGTAAATTCTGTAATTTTAATGACGGCGAAAAATAGACAAACTTTCACCTGCAGGAACAAAGTCTTGCCAGGAACACATCGACTGAGTGTCTCTAGAGGAACCTTTTTGTAATTGTCATGGAAGGCCAGTGTTTCTAACTTTTCGTAAGTGAATGTCGCTACATTTTAAAATAAAAGTCGCTGATTTCGCCATAGATATTTTGAAAAGTCGCTACTTTGTCGCTACTCAAAAAACAACAAATTTCCAAATCGTAGAAAGGCTTTATTGATACAATACGATAAAAGTTGTAAACAGAATAGTTATGTTAAAAACAATGAAGAATAAATAATTAAATTGTTATCAACATGAACAATAAATAATTAAATTTTAACAACATGAACAATAATATAATTATAATACATATACTGTACAGTATTTTATGGACAATAAAAATATTGCTTTTTTTGCAAAAAATCTAAATTTTTATAAAAATGGTTTGCAACTGGATATCTTTTAAACGCTTCACTCATTGCTTTTTGGTAAAACTTTAGACATTTCAAAATAAATAATTCATCGTCAGTATTACTTAAATCATTAATCAGTGCTCTTGTCGGTACCCTAACATTAATTTTTTCCACAGCAATAGATTATGTGGCTTATATAGATTAAACGTTATTATCTTCATAAGCTGATAATACAGTTGTATAAAAAGCCATTATTTATTATTCATTAACAAATCCTGTATAATCCATGTACGCAGCCGTCACAATTATTTTGTTTACCAGCTGATTAAAATGAGTGTTGCCAGCTTCGTAAATTGTACAGTACAAAGTATATATTTACTAGGAGATGAGCTTGGCATTGCTCAGGCAAAAAGTAACGATAGCAAATATTAAGTTTATTATATTATAGCTGATCTTACCCATTTTCACCAGATGCAAGAATTAGGTTCCCATCTTCTGAGACATACCCGTTGTGCAATGGAAAAAGTATTTTAATTTAATTCTTTCTTCATATAGTTTTCTTCCTTGATCTATTTCTTAAATTATTTTGTTTATTAAGATTATTTATTAATCAGAACTTAACACTTCTGATTAATAAATAATCTTAATATAGTGTCTATGCTATTAATAATTTATACATATAATTTACAATCGTTTTAATTCTCTTTTTCGATGAATTAGATACTTCTTTTTATTTTTGGAAAAATTTGCTGTATAATTTTGTCAATTATAAATTAAAATTTTTGTATTAGTGTGGGGGCCGAAGGGGGGAAAAATAAAAAAAAATCTTTCGATGAACGATTATATGTGATATATATCGTCATCGTCTCCCTTGCCGTTTGGATTGCCGAGCGGTAACAATCAACGACATGTGGAAGCAGTTGAGTCAGAGATAGATGCTTCGTTTACAAACAACACAACCGTTTATTAAACAGGAAAGAAGCTTACAAGGTTTCCGCGATATTGGAAGTTCTGCGGCGGTTGTGGCCTCTGGGTCTTCCTCTCCTTTCCAAGATAGTCCCATTTTGAAGGAGTGTCCCTTGTTCGCGAATGACACATTTCATCACGTCTCGACGACTCCGGGACGATGCGGTCGACTTCCGTTGATGGAAAGATGTCGATCCGAGGTCGGGAGATGGAGACGAAGATGGGTGCGCGACACACACACAACAACAGGTCCGTCACTTGGAACTTTCGGTAGAAGAAGCCGTCGCGTCCTCGAATTTCCGGGGTTTTATCTGTTTTCTCTCAGATTCCCCTTTCCGATTGGTCTCTCCTCGTCACCTGATGACAATTCGAAACCTTTCGGGGCGCGGGAGAGGTCAAAATCGAAGTTTAATTCGATCTCCAACCGGAAATGGTCGACGGACTTACATTCTTCTATTGTTTAAAAGTTAGTGTCGCGTTTTCATAAAATAAAAAGCTATTTCTAACTACTATATTTTTTCTCTAAAACAATTATTTTAACGCGAATTTTAGTGTGGGTTCGGACCTGTCCAGAGCCTCACATTAGTGTTGACTTGACATGAAAAAAAATGGCATTTACTCGTGATCGAAAAATTCCCGCTGAACCTAGAGGTGAAATTTGGTACACAGTTAGGGTACGTCATGAAAACGCGCACTAAGAAGGGATTTTTCGAAATTCCCAGGCGGAGGGGAGAGGGAGAGGATTAAGGCTTAACCGGAAGAACGGCTTCTACTGTACTATTTCAGATGCGATTTTTCGTTTTTATATACTTCGCAGTGGCGTACCGTGGGTGTCAGCCGCCCGGGTCGTAGGAAAATTTTCCCCCTTATTTAGGTCCTTCAATTTAAAAGACGAAAATTCAGTTTTATCACAGAACTAGCAATGAAAAATTCCGTGTCAGTGCAGCGACCTGTTTAAAATAGTTCTATTGGATATTAGTGGTATATATATACGTACAAGGAAAAAAAATCAACAGGTTACGCAGGATTTCGTCGGATGAAAGAATTACTAGTTCACCCGGACGGCAAGCCGATTCCCAGACTGTCCGGACGATAGCACTATCGTCCGGACAAGTATAGATTAGGATGTTTCAAATTTTTACAAGATATTATTATTATTTATTGTGAAATTTTGCCGCCCCCTAAAATGTGCCGCCCGGGGCAGGCCGCCCCTTCCGCCCCCACTACGATACGCCACTGATACTTCGATTTTTTAACCAAATGTTTCAATCGTTTTAAATTCGAATTTGTTATTGCAAATTGGTTCGATTATAGAACGATTGTAAACATTCCAGAAAATTGATCAAATTGAAAACATTTCGTTTGATTCTCGGCAATTCTCATCATTCTCAGCGGTAGGTGTTATATAACAATTACTATGGTTGTTGAAATACTAAATATAAATGGGGTTTGCTTGCAAAATCCTCGCGGGCAAAGCCGCGGGTAACAGCTAGTATATTATATTCTTACCGGTCGCTAAATAACGAAGTGCCAACGAAAGACGTTCTCCGGGTGAAATAAAACTTCTAAGATGTGTATCTTCTTTAGCTATTATGGGTGTTATCCGCCTTAAAATATTTTGAAAAGTATTCGTATCCATACGGATATATCCCCTATAACCTTCGGCATCTGAAAGCCTTAATTCATGCATCAGCTGGTGGAAGCAAGATTGTTTAGCCCGTTGATTTTCATTTCGCCAAGTTTTAACCCAGCATAAACGTTTTTTCTTATTTTCTCTTCGTATATTCTCGCCAGCTCTAACAAAATTATCGCCTTTTTTCTTTTATTCATTCCAGAAAAGGAACTGATTGCCATTTTAATAAGAAAAGTGGCTAAAATTCCGTAAATACTCTGAATTAGAACGTAAAATGGAGGTAAACTCACGAAAGTAGACAAAAACAAGCCACTGTAATTCTATTGGTTTATTATAGGGTCACGGTGTTTCCGAGTTGCAACGTCAACGAACAATGTGTCACCACGAGAAGACGCGCGCGACTCGCGCTTGTAGTTGTAGTCGCCTGCGCGGCTGGAAATCGCATAGTGTGACCAGGGCTTAGGTACCTGGTAAGGTGCGAACTCACGACGGAACTCCCAGTATTCAAGGAACGGAACTGCTTGGATACTGGTGGGCCGTAAAACAAGATGGAAATTCATGTAAAAAATATATGTTTTAAATAAATTTATTTAATGTGTTAGGTATGAAATTTTTGATTATTTTTCTTTTGTTAATAACTTAGAGTTATCTTAAAACTTTTTTTCTAACTTAGGTTTGAGGGCCCCAAAATTTCTACCGCTTGGGGCCCCACTTGATTTGATCTCCGCTGGTATACCCCAAGGTTATATTCTAGGATCTTGGTTATACCCAACGAGATAGAATAACAGTGCTAAACCGGTTTAAAAAAATTTTCTGATGAGAATAATCTATGGAGAATAGGCCTATTCTTTATTCAACATTGTTCAATAACTTTTACATTTCAATTTTATAATTTGTTAAACAAGATTTGTGAAAATTTCTCTTTCAGAGGTATACAAAACTTAGCTAATTTTATTGTTTCATCTAACTATATTAAATGCATGTGACAAATTCAAAAAATAATCTGACTAGTCTTAATTATAAATTTCATCCTTTCTCGAACTTTTTATAAATAATATCTGTAACAAATTATAAATTTTCTGTTATTCGTTATCTGTGAACGTATATTTAAATTTAAAACACTAATCGCACTATTAATATTATCTATTGTGTATGATTTGGTTCAGAGGTACAGTACATAAAGATCAAGTATGACGTTAAAATTCGTTCAAAAAAAAATCTTACTTGTTAGTAATTTGTTAAGTAAAAGTAAACTGTTTTAAAATTATTAATATAAATTTACGAAAACATGCGAGCTAAACTTTATACAGTATTTTCACTTTATACTCACTCAATTACAATTAAAAAATAATAATCTATTTCTGCATGACTTCGTTCCGACTACCACAAAATATAATCGACCAGCATTTCCTATTTCGATGGATTGACGTCATTCAGCCGACCAATCAGCACGTTGTGCCATCTGGATATTTAGGGCGCGTTCGTTAATAGTGGTTGCTCTGCGCCTCCGCTACTACGGGAGTGAGCTGCTGTTTGTAGGCATTTAGGAACGACGGTGAAAGAAAGAAAGATGGCGGTGCCCGTAGTATCGTGATGGAGAAATCTATAATTCTAAAATATGAGCTTTTAAAGGCAAAAGAAGGGTCCCAATTGTAAAATTTAACCATAAATTGGATTATTTGTTGAAAGAGCATTCAAAATAGCCACGAAAAAATTCGAAAAGACACTTACATCACCGCGTGCACTAACTTGCACTTTCACAACTTCTAACTTTCATTCATAAAACCACATAATGGACCCCGAAGTGAAACTATCTGAGTCCTAGAGAACGCCATGTTACTTTCCATCGCAAACTACTGCTACAAGCAGCCGTTTTTGCCGTTCGATGGCGCGCACTCCCACCTGAATTTAGGAACGCGTTCCGCAGGAATTTTTTCACGGATGTCGCTCGTGCGGAGTTACGCGGAGGAATAAAACAACGCACCCTTAGTCGCACGTAATTGAAGTGCGGCAGCCATGACAGTTGAAGTGGACTCTCTCTGTTGACTAAATTTAAGTTAATGATAACTGAAGATATTTTGCAATTTAGATAAATCAATGAAGTTGTTTTTTTACATATACAACGTATCGAAATATATTGTGTAAAATTAATCATAATTCTATTATATTATTTCATAAAATTACAATTTTTTAGAAAAATTTTCTGAATTTTTAGAAAACTTTTACAAATAAAAAATTACTGTATAATAATTTTATTACACAATAAAAATTAATGTTAGTATACACATATCGACATTACATTACATATTAAGCATAAAGTTTTACAGTGCAATGTAAAATATAT